TTTGTATGTGTACGTTCGTGTATTTGTTCTTTTGTTGCAATCGAAGAGTTGTTTAAACGATAACATAATACATCACTTTGATGACACCTAAATTTTCGATGATTATTCAAACTTTTGTTTGAGTATTGGTCGATTAGAAAGCGAGTTTAAAAAAATGGATGACGAAACGACGAGAACGGCAGCGGCAATGTCGTCGCTGTCGTTGTCGTTGTTGTTGTCGTCGCATGTTGCATCTTTTGTTGCTGCTGATGGCTCCATCGTTATTCGCGTCTCTGCTCACTTTCGGACAGTAAACAACCCAGTGAACGATTATCGAAACATTTTCAAATGTTTGAGTTTTCTATCTCGGAACTTTTTTTCTGTTTTCTTTTTTTCTTGAGGACCTATTGCTCTTTAATATTTTTCCTCTTTTTTTGGAAAAAGACATGGTGCGGCGGAAAGGGTTCTGTGGTTCGGTAACTGTCTAAAAGATCTAAAAATTTACGAACACAATGAGACTCCACAGTACCGGACAGAAAGGGTTAAAACGTTTTTAGAAGACGCTTTTAGAAACATAAGCAGACTTACTATGTTCCGTGAAGCCAGTAGACCGGTAAATATTGTTGTCAGTGTCGTTGAAAAGTTCAAAAAAAGAAACACAGAAACAGTTAACTACGGTCAGCTTTTTCATGTCCTGGTTAAGCACTGAACGTGCTACTGAAGGGGGCATAGTGAATAACGAAAAAGAACATTAACTGTTACTCATCACTTACACTCATCAAAAAATGTTGATGAAAGTTGGGGAAAATACTGACTAAAATTTAGTTTTTTCCCTTTTTTCTAGGCGTGTTCTTGAGTTTAATATTCTATCTCAAATCATGAAATCGAATCAAGAACCAGAAAGAAAAAAAAGTAGTAGAAGAAAAGAATTGCTTTCTTGCTGATTCTTTTTTAACCACACTGTTGCGCCTGATTTTGAACGGTCTGATCGGTTAAACAAAAGTTAAAAACTTAGAAGAACAAATTGAAGAAGAAGAACAAGACCGATTAAAACTTCTCGTACGTGTTTTGCTTCTTTTTTCTTTTTTTTTTCTGTTTTTCTGTTTTTTTTTTTTGTCATAGCTTTTTGCACTATTATGCTTTCGACCGAAATGGGGAACTCTGTTGTGCTAGGCGCAGAAAAAAAACTTTTTTCCTTTCTTTCTTTGTAAGAAATAACTTTTAACTAGTGAACCCAATTTGGCAGCAACGAACTAATTGCAAAACTGTCAAAACCGGCTTATTTGAAGAAGTGTGTTCTTTTTTAAGTAACCGATCAGTTTATATTAAACCTATCAATTAACAAAACTGTTGGCGATCATCAATATTAACGAACAGTTTTTTCTTGTTGAAATTTTTTTCTAGTTTTGTTTCGCTTAAGTGAATATAGCTATTGTTGATTTTCTTGGTCGTTATCGATCTGATTATCAATGAAAATGTCAGCTGTGAAACATTTTATGATGATGCTCCTTTTTTGCTTCTGTTCTGTTCATTG